GGCGCCCCGGGCTCCTCGCCCGGGCCGGTCTGTCCCTGGAAGCGTCTACCGACGACTCGCGACGCCTCAGCGCATCTCTGAAAGGATTCTCTAGACTTAAGAGCGTAGCTGAGGTGGGGGGAAACTTTCCAGCTAGAGAGCCGCTCTCCTCTAACCCAGTTCAATAAAAAGTTGTGTTTTGAGTGAGTATTTTACAAATAAGGAATTTCAGGCTTGCTAGGGTGGCGCGGACTTCTCCTGCACTTGGCCTTTGGGATGCTCCCTAATTGCTACAGTGTCCAGACTCGTTTAGACCCCAAATTACTGGGCGCACTTGACAGCCTTTTGGACCCGAAACGTGCCTGCTCCTGGCAGCAGAACGAGCTGTCCACCCTGGGAGCTTGCAGGTACTGGAGCCACGCGATCCGGCCTCCCAAACCCTTTCTTGGAAACATCTAAGTGCCGGCAGACACGCGGTTCCTGTTCTTAGCACGAATAGAATCTAGCCTTTGAGGGAAGGACTGATTCCACAGTCTCCTGCAATTTTCTTATTTTTAACTTTTCTAAAATAACTTTTAAATAATAATAATAATAAACTTGCTGCTATTCTTAAAAAAAAAAGAGTGTTTTAAGGTAGCTGTAGTCACAGGCAGGAATGAAATGAAAAATGTTCTCTCCTTTTTTAAGAAGCGAAGAGAGTCAGTGACACATATAAATATATACATATTTTTAAATGCGCTGAATAGCCTATCAGGCATTCTGGGAAAGCGTTTATTTTGGTTCTTGAAGCTACTTTAAAGCTTCTAAGAGTAGGTGATCTTAAGTGGATGAGTCACTTTAATGCATTTTACATAACAAAAACAAAGCCCAAGGTAGCCTTCCCGGTATTTGTGCTGCTGGAAATTATTTGCTGTCCTTTGTTGGCCGAGTGCTGAAAACTGGAGTTTTGGGTGGATACTAACAGTGAATCTTTACCGGTTGGAACCCTTGCAGCTATTACTTGAGATGCAGCGTTAAAGTATTTATTACAATAGGTGTCAGTGCAAGAATCTGGAGGATGCACAATTCTAACCCAGAGAAGGGGAGTGTCTAATATTTTTTGTCATTGATTTACGGTAATGTTCCTCTTCAGATAATATTCCATAAAAATGAATTCGGATCATTTTTGTTGTTAAGCAAAAGGGTAGATGCCATCTGTGGATCGTTAAATTGGCAGACTGTTCCAACCGGATATTTTTAAACAGAAAAAGAGTAAGAACTACTCTAAAGATCTTTCAGAATTATTCACTCTTATTAAGAAATCACGCTTTTATTTATTTAAATTTTTCAGTCTTTTTGTAGCATGGCCTATAAAGTGAGAACTCAAATGATTCACATTTTGAGTCAAATAAAGAAGTGGCTCTTTTAAAAAGTCACGTTCTTAATGTGTTCACGCATTTTTAGAGCGTTGTTCTTAAGTGACAATTTATCAATATTTCTGTCAGGGGGAATGCAGGATCATGCCATTGGGAGTAACTGTGGCCTTTCAGAATTAACAATTCAACTCTTTATTCTTGAATTTTCTATGGTAAAATGTTAATATAAAAATTCTTATTATAAGAAAGACCTCTGCAATAAATTCTTTGCTAAATTAAAGTAACTCAGTTTTCATGATCAGAAATTTACTAGAGACAAGAAAGATAATAAATAGTGGGCTACCATGGGATTAGGACACTAAAATTTCTTTTTATTTTAAAAGATTTGAAAGTCTTTAACAATGGAAATTCAGGATATTTTCAAATGATATAAAACTAATTATTTTATGAATTAAGAACTTAAAATATTTTGTAGAACTAATTCAGTCTTCTGTAGGTAATATTAACAATTTTTTAATGGCTTCCACAGCTTCAATTATTCATTTGAAAAGTTAGTAGCACCGTCTTCTGAGGGGAGGAGAAATGGTAGTTGACATTTGTAACTTCATGCTAGATTTCTGAATGAACTTTATGAAATTAAAAAAAGAAGTGGCACTTACTTCATCAAGATGTAGTGCCATTTGTTTTTTGTTGCAAGAAAATAATTCATATTCAATGTTTGGCAGACTAAATCTCAAATCTTTGGGGAAAATGCCAAGTTTATACATTGAGTTCAGAGATTGTAACATCCACAAAGGTCACATTATTAATATCTGCATATGAATTTCTCTGGAAATCATTAGTGAATTCTTTTATTTTTTGAACAATTCTATTTTTTTCAGAGAAAAAAGTAAAATAAGAAGTTTTTATCATCAGAAGAAGAACAACATGTCACCCACACATTATAAAATTAGTTTTGCATCAATTAGAGTTGGACCTGAAATTAGTTACTTAAAGGGTTTTTCAAGTACAGTGTTTACAATAATATGAAGGGCTCAAATTTCATTATAATAAAACATAAATAGTATGCCATTCTAAGTATATTCTTTAATTTTCTATTCTTCAGTTTAACGTACATCCTAATATAATGTATTTTTTTGGACTAAGTAGTAGTTAAACCGCTCTAAGAGTTAACACTTACAGAACTGAATTTTTTTCAGATAAAGGAATTTTGATACAATTCTTTCCCTGGATTAGTTGTTTCCTTTGGAAATGTTTGTCTCAATAAGGCATGAAACATATATGCATTATAGTAGCAACCGCGTCATGCATATTGGTTTATATATAAGTGGAAAATACATTCTTTTTGTGTTACAGCAAGAACTTGCTATATTGTACTTTAAAATGTAGTTTTCAAAAAAGTGTAGGCTTCTATTTTTCTAAAAATAATTTCTTGGTATGTATGTCAAAACACTTCTAGAATTTTAAACGTAAGATTACATGTGTGATAACCAGTCTTATGTTAATTTAAATCTGTTCTTAATCTGTTTACAACTTCAGTTTTTAAATGCATTGTAACTGCAACTACATTCACATTAGACTTGTATTTCAGTTGTTATCAAAATGCCAATCAGCCAGCAATAACTGGCAGAGAATCCATTGGTATATAGGGATTTTAATATAAACTGTACAGTGATATAAATACACAACTCAGTTCTATTTCTGTAGAAAATAACATTATTTTCTAAAAGCATAAAATCTCAGAAAAAGTGTTTGGGAGGTTTAAATACATATGGTAGATTTTTTTTCTGTTACAGAATAAATTTGTATTTAAAGGCTATAGAAAAGATATCTGTGTGTGTACTGACTTTGGGATGGGTATCTATTCCATGAGTTAGAAGTGACATATTTATTCTCACTTGGGTTTAGCAATTTCTGCCTATATACTACATACACTGGGAAGTATGCCTTTTGAGAAAATATGAGATAAAATATTAAATGTAAAATAAATCCTAAAAAACAACACTGATGAATCCCTTTCTCAAATCTTTAATTTGTTCTCCTCAGCATCACCATGTGACATTTATTATTCCATGGGTGTATGTTTGAAATATACAATAGTAGATATATTTTTCCATGAAAATAGTAATGTAATGTTAAATTTATTACTGTTACTCATAGAGATATGTTTATATTTGGATTGGCATTGAAAGAGCATTAAGCAAACTGTAATAGATATAGTCAAAAAACATTTTAAGTACAAGAAACTATTACTATAGTTTATAAAAAGGAAACAAAGTATACCTATATTATCCTTCTCAATAGCTTTCATTACTAAATAGTGATAAAATCAGAATATAAAGCAGGTGGTTTATTTTGAAAATAGTTAAAACCTTTACCTCTCTGTTTCATCCAAGAAACCCTGGTGGCACAGAAATCTATTATTTCTCCAACATTGATAAAAATAAAAATAAAATACTATTTTTTCTAGGGTTTACGTGCAGTAAGCTTTTGCAAAAACACAAGCAATACATGCAAATTATATGTTGTATTAAAATTTAGTATTTACACTTTGCAATATATATTCATAAGAAACAACAATGAATTTAGGACTTTTCAAAAGAACTACAAAGTGTGCCCGTAGTAAACTGTATTGTTTTGATGTGTGTATTTTCTGGAATATCACTATATAAAATGACTACATGGAGATTTCTTTTTTTCCTCTTATTTTCCAAAAGATATAAGTTTCCCAAAAAAGTAATCTATTCTGAATTCAAATTTGTTTTTCCTGAAACATACAGTATGTGTCATCAAATTATTGATAACTTTAAAATGGATATTTAAATAGCTAAAATGAAATGTATTTTCGGCAAATTATGTAATTTGTTGATGCCATTTAGTGTCTTATGTGTGTGACCATAAACAGTTCTGACATAACCATACATAGAATTTTGCAAAAAATCAGATTTTGTTTTGATATTTCTAAAAGGTAGCTTTTTATTATTATTAAAATGATAACATTCCATCATTTGTATTTAGACCTGAGTGTGGTAGTGTTTCAGAGAGCATGTAAGCTGCTTGCCATGAACTGACTCTGTTCTATTATGTCCCATCTATGTTTACTTAAGCCTTACAGTGTATACCGGGCATCTTAACACTAGGTATGCCAGTCCTCTCATCTTTTCGAGGACTATCTGTGAGCAATAGCACAACTGTTCCCAAGCCTTTCATACAGTTGTTTTGTAGTCAACTTGGAAGTGGGCTGCAGTGGTCAACTATGTAGCTTACGCATATCCATTTTCCCTTTTGTGTGCATTAAAACATGGAGATAGTTGTGCCATATTGTTTACAGAGATGCAAGAAAAAGTCAGTTGCCTTCACTGTCAATTGAGTAAAACTAGTAGCGTTGCTTGAAAAATGCTGTGTTTACCACCTTTCATCGAGGATCATTGCATAATTAGAAGATTGGGCTAGTTTATATAATTACAGAATTG